AGTAGAGCATGAAATTATAGCTTTTTAAATTTTTTTAAAAGGGATATTTTTCTTCTTTGTTTTGTAGTATAATTTAAAACTGAAGTGCTTGGTTACGTTTTATATTTACAGTCATAAATGTTCCCCCGTTACTTTCTACATATATTGAAAATGTTGCTATTCAAGTGGTATATCTAAATTTTCTTTAAATTTAACGAGAAATATATAAAAACTAAATTTTAAAGGGGAATATTTGCGTATCTATCTATCTATATCTATATCTATCTATATATATATTAAAAATATAAATGAAATAGAACATTATTTCGGCAAAGTAAATCTATGTTTAAATTATATCACTTTATTTTTCCATACATAAACAATATCTATATCTATCTATTCATTTATCTATCTATATATATGTGTGACATTTTTTAATTCAATAAAATTAAGAGTTTGTTTTAGAAAAGATTTCATAAATAAAATAATGTTTACAAGAATTCGAATAGCTCAAGCCTATAGTATTTCTCAATCATTTATTTTATTTTTGAATTGAAAGACAGATTATATAAAAAAAATTCAACACAATATTAAAATGTTATGATTTAGGGTTAAGTTCAAAAGAATGAAATGAAATGTTACATTTCTAGAATGAGACACATTGTTTTTTTGCCGTCATCAAAGGCATCATACAACTGCAACAGCCGAGGATGCTGGAGAATGGTCATGATTTCGACTTCTCGTTCCACATCCAAGCGGTCCTGTGGCTTCAGGGTGGTGATGAATTTGGCTGCAAACACTTTACTTGTAGATTTTTCGGTACACCGGTGCACAGTACCAAATTTTCCTCTGAAGGGAGAACATTGGAATTTTATTGTTGGGCGAAAAAACATATTTCAATTATATTAAGCACTATGTAGAAATTTTCTCAAACATTTTTCTTTAAGTAAACTCCAAAATAGTTTGATTTAGGAAAAAATAATAATAAAGACTCTTTATTTAAGTACATGCATAATTTAAGCGTTTCCCAAAACGTTGGAATACTCTTTGATTGTTACATTCAGAATGTTGTTAGATTCCTTCAATTCATTGGGAAGGGAGTTGAATCCACAATGATCTTGATCCCTCCGAGACTTGGCGTGATAATTTATTTTTATTTTACCCGTTTAATGGTTAATAATCACAACTGTATCTCTCAAAAAACTAAAAGGCTAGCATTTTTAAAGCAGGATGCAATCTTGCATCCCCCGCGTCTTCAGACTAATCAGAAAAGCTTTTACCGGAAATCATATGATTCTAACAGCTTCCGGTCGACTCAAATTAGAAATGGACGAGATTTCTAAAACGACCAAAGTATGCTTTTGTGAACGTCAGGTAAAGCGCACTTGTTAAAGTCTTGCTTTGTTTTATGTTGATGTTGTGAATGTTTAACTAAAAAAACTAAATCAATGTCGTCTTCTATTGACAAGATGTTTCCTCTTCAAATGTACCATCTCTTAATAACAATATGCTCTGAACAAAGTCCCGTATACTTCATATATATATACAGGGGGATTCAGAATTCATGGTACAAACTATAAGGTTAGATACAGGACGTTGTAACAATCATTTATTGTATAGGAATGTATGGGTGCAAACGACGCAGTGAGACGCAATTAGGAAAAATAAAAGAAATAGAGTTATCGGCTGGTTGAGTTGCCGGTAGGGAGCAGTAGATGTCTAGCTGCTGTTCAACATGATGCATCTCAGTAGGGGAAAGCGCTTTTCACAATTGTGCTGACGTCTACGATGGGAGATATTACGAATGCCGAAAATGCAGACATGCATTTCATGTACAGCCGAGCAAATGGTAGCGGCAGAGCTGAGGTACGAATGTATCACGCACAGTTTCCTGATCGACGATTGCCGGATCATAGTATTTTTAGTGGGTATCATCGTCAACTTCGTGAAAACCCTTCGTTTCACGTCACCAGCCATGATGCTGGTCGACGAAGAGCTGTACGCAGTCCAAGCCTGGAAGAAAGCATCTTGAACGTGGTGGCTGATAGACCAAAGTCAAGTACAAGAGCTGTTGTTCATCACGTAAGTCTGCGTCATCAGACTGTTTGTAGAGTGTTAAATGAAAATAGCTTACACCCCTTCCTTTTTCAGAGAGTACAAACTTTGAATCCGGGAGACTATCTTCTTTGACTGCCAGTGGGTGGTACAGAAGTATGCGCTGCAGTTGGACTTCATAGCTCATGTGCTGAACTGTTATGAACAGTTATTGTAAACATTACACTTGTCAACGACGCTTTCAATAAACACTTTGTCTTTTCCTTTCGTCTCTTATTTTTTGTGTTTGTGCCTCACCGTATCACTTGCGTCTATGCATTCCTATACAATAAATGATTGTTACAATGTCCTGTACCAACCCTTTAAGTTTGTAGCATGAATTCGGGACCACCCTGTATATATATATACACTGGTGTGCAAAAATTAAGGACGATGCGGTTTTTTCAATATAACTTTGTACAAAAGCATTCCAAATCAACACATTTAATACCGTAAGATCCCCAATACGTAAGGACATGAGTAATGTAAGCAACACTTACTAAAAGAGAAATCAGAGGGATAAAAAGAAGCTTTATTGAAAAAGTAGCATGGAGCGCAATGCGACTGAAGGCCGAAACATCCCTGTGATGGGTGTCCAGTAAGAAATATCCGGTCTTTAGTAGGGGATATGATCCCCCTGACTGCTAGGCAGGTTTCACAGCGTCTGCCCATGCTGAGAATGAGGGTGTCAATGAGTTGTTGAGGCATTGCTGCCCATTCCTCTTGCAGCGTCAATCGAAGCTCCGGAATCGTTACTGGTGGTAAGGTACGAGCTGCCAAGCGTCTGCCTAAAAAATCCCATAGATGCTCGATGGGATTGAGATCCGGAGATCGTGCCGGCCAATCCATACGTTCAATATCCTCACTCTCTAAGAGCTGTTCGGCAGCTACTGTGCGATGACATGGTGCATTGTCGTCCATGAAAAGGAACTGCGGACCCATAGCGCCTCTAAAAAGATGCACATATGGAAGAAGAATCTCGTTACAATAACGGGCCCCGTTGACTGAACCTGCGTCGAAGATGTGAAGGTCCCCAAACGAGAACCCCTCCCCAAACGAGAACACCACCACCTCCATACCTGTCCCTTTCAATGATGTTCGAGGGATGATTGCGGCTTCCCCGCTCTCTCCAGATGAGTATGCGATGAGAATCGCTACTCAGACTGAATCTGCTCTCATCTGTAAAGAGTACTCGTCCCCATTCATTGTCTCTCAAATTCCGGTATTCCCGGCACCACAGAGAACGCCTTCTCCGATGGGCAGGCGTTAGAGGTACACACCGTACAGGGCGTCGTGCAAACAGACCACCACCGTGCAGTCTTCTGGCCACGGTAAAACGCGATATCGGTCGTCCAGTCGCCTGTGTCGTGTGTCTAGCGATTTCTCCCGCTGTCTGCAGCCTGTTTCTTCTGGCCTGTAAGGCACTATACCGGTCATCTGTGGGTGTGGTTCCTCGTGGACGACCACTACTGAACCCCCGGCTAGCTGTTCCTGTAGTTTGAAATTGTCTCCAAAGTCGTGAAACGATGCTGTGAGCAATTCCGAACTCTACAGCCACACTTGTCACACTGCGACCTTCCTCCAACTTCCCAATGATTCGACTTCGGGTAAAAGCATCCAGATGTCGTCTAACAGATTGATTATTCGCCATTTCTCGCTGAGGCAGCAACTCGGTGTGATTTTAACTGCTATACGGTGTGCAATCTCTTTGCCAGAAATACTAATCTTACACCGACAACATGCTTTACTACTCAGGCACTCCCCCATTACGTCTACCTGCATATCTGCACATGTGCTACCGTACATCACCTCACTTAATCTCCTGATTGGTCTTTCTGTCCGCTCTGCCTCTTCGTTCAGCTGATATGCTAATTTTTCGACTTCGTCCTTAATTTTTGCACACCACTGTATTTATATATATATATATATATATATGGGATTTTCCACATGAACCACTCTCTATAGGACATTGGCGCCTCTGCCACCAGTGAACTAACAGAGGAGAGTGATGAATTAGTGAGCGGGGACCGACGTGAGATCCAACGCTGCTGGAAAAGATTGGGCAACCGGGAAATGGCTATGATGGGACCACCTGTCCAATGCTAGAAGGGGAGTGAAGTATAGGTCACTCGTCACCTAAACTCCATAAGCCATCATGAACTATCTAAGAACAGTGTTACCATTGGGAACTGTTGTGTAAGAACTATACGAGGATTTCAAGAACTGACTACTATCGTTGAGGGCAAGAAGTGTTTATTTTAACTTGATGCATTAATATATATGTTAGTATATTAGTGTAGTCCTGTAACAAATGTCCACCATTAAACGTCAGTTTTAGTAAAAACCAGTGTTATGATTAAAATACCCCTAGAGCTCCGTGCCACAATCCCATATATATAGTAGCTTTTCTTAATTTAAACAAACAAATATTCATCACTAATATCCTTACTTACCTTTACCGTTTAGTGTTGTTTCGTAAGCTACCAAAAGAAGAAAGAAAGGCTTTTTTCGTTCTTGGTTTTAATGTATAAATTAATCATAAATTTCTTGTCTTTAACTCCTTATCAAAGATATAACAGCTATTGAACTACTCAGTAATTGAGTCATTTCTTGATCTTTAATTTTAAATTAATAATGTTTCATCAATTTGAATCAAGATCGGAGAATATCACACTCCACAGATTTCAATTTCATATATTGTGAAGACTGAAGTATGATTGGATTGAACTGAAATTAAAATCCATGCTTTCATATATATAAGATATTCTTTAGCAAAATAAACATTCGAGCAAACGACCTTATAGCAACTCTTTCATAATCTATTATTCACCTAAATAATAGAATAACAAGCGACAAAATTAGCGCAGAAAGGGTGATTAGGATTTCAAATTAAGATAGGTAGATTAACAACTTGATCGGCTTTTATGGGAGCCAGGGCTTTGATGGATAAAGTACCTGTTTTGTAAGCAGGAGATCACGAGTTCGAATCTCGTCGGTGCCTGAGTAAACATTTTGCCTATTCAAAAACGATACGGTATTGGAGTCTCATGCTAGTTTACTTAAAGAATTTTGCTTTTCCAATGTCAGTCGTGAAAATTTAATACGGTTATCTCTTATTAGTATAATATTTACTTAAAGTGTTGCTGCAGTCTCTCATCATAAATCATTCTACTAAAATAAATACTCGCTACTATAACAAAATAAGATTGAAAGAAAAAAAAGAGACTGTATTTAACACATTTAATTTTGAGAAATCAGCAATATTTTTCTATTACGATTTTTCAAAAGCATTTTCAAAGTATTTTCAAAGCATTCTTTACGGCATTTTTAAGGGCGATTTAAAAATAGCTTATAGTGGGAAATAATCCGTATGAGGAAATACTTATAATGTGTTAAAAAATTGTCATCAGCGACTCATTTATAAAAAGCAAGAAATAAGAGTTCTTGTAGGAATGTAATACTTTAGTTGTGTAACGGTTACTCGTTTTCATTGCTGTACACTTCCTAGAACGCGTTCCAGTTTCATTACTTTTGACCCAGATTACAGAGGTCGGAAGATAAGGCACACTTGAACTTCAATTGATAGAAGAAAAAAACTGTTCAATTCCACTTTTTCCAGGTTTATTTAAGAAAAGTTTAAAATCATGTAGTTAGATTTCACCATATCTAGTGTTATCTAACATGCAGTTTACCATATACAGTATAAAAAATTAAGAAATAAAGAAGAAAATTTTAGCATCAGCAATGGGAAATCGTCCCATTTTAATTTTGGTAAATGATGCTAGAAAACTCTGTTGTTTCTTTAATAATGAATCGTTTATTTAAAAACTGTTTCTGAATGTTTTGATTTTTTTGATTTATCATATTCTACTGATGAATACATTAGTAGCAATAGTCCTCTAAATACTCAATTGGGTGATAAATAGAAAGGAACTGAAATGTAAAGCTTACGTTTATTGAAATTATTGAAACTTGTTTCTCAGACAATTTAATACTCAATAGAATTTAAATGCATTTTATGCGCCTCCATGATAGTAAAAAAACATTAGTTGGTGCGTTTTTTTCACGATCTTTTCGAAGAAAGGATTTCTACAAGGCGTAATTTTTGGATAATACAAGGAGAACTGAGCACAAATGAATGACTATTGTTTTCGTACATTTCTCAATCTTAGTGAGTTTTTTTCCTTACGTGTGCGCCTTAGGGGTTCAGAAAGAAGGAAAGTCTTTCGGACGGGACAATCACGCAGAGAACGAAATTTCAAAGAGACTCAGACCTGAAAAGTTGTTAGGTTTTATTACCCTTAAGCGAGTCATTTAGAGGAATTTTGAAAGTATTTCCTACACACATAAATGGGGTTTTTTTAGAATAAGATATTTTGAAATATGGAAAGAAAAATTTCCATACAATTATTTAGATTTCCTCTTTCTTTTTGACATTCCTTTGTCTAGAACTAGATTATTATTGTTTTAATACTTTCAAAACTTCATTGGAGAAACTATATTTCATTTTGAGGCATAATTAAAGATTTTCCGGAGATATAAGACATGGATATTTTTATTCAAAATTCCTTGTCCTTTTAAAAATTTTTAAAAAAGTACAAATTTTGAATTTTTCTTCGTTTATTTTTCCATTGAGTCGACTTTACACAACTCAGGGTAGCTATAAATCCAAGAATTATAATCAGTTCTCAGTATTAAGTCATGAGAAATTCTTTGGGTGATTACATCAACCAAAAATATAAATGCATTAAAAATCACTGAGGTATATTTCACCCAATTAAAGATGTGTGTTGTTTCACACTATAATTTAACATCAAGGAATAGGGAGCTTTCAAAATTCCTTTTTTCTTAGAAAATCAAATTAGCTAAATACAAAAACCCATTTATTTTATCACGTATGAATTTTTCATAATCATTCCGAATTATACTTCCTTATTTTGTAAAATAACTCTTGATATGTGGCAAAAATGGCCAACACTTATAATTATCAAGATTTAATATATATTAATTGCTATATAAAACACAGATCCTTAATAAGGAGCAAGATATATTTTTAATTCAAAATTGTAATATCTTCGTCCCTAATCGTACCAAAATCAAGGACCTTCGTAACTTCAAGGAGATTAATTTTTTTTATAGCTTATATATTATGGAATAAAAAATTGTATTCAAATGTTTTTATTAGAAGAGCATATTCAGACTTTAAAAAATGGGCCTCACATAAAGTGATGCATTGAGATCCATTCTCTTTCCGTTGTCCAAGTCAGTGAGTTATGCTCGAGGATCCCAATGCAATTTTGGAAGAGAATTTTACACAGAATTGAATCCAGGAAAAATTGAATTTTATGGGTTAGTGTGTACCTTGTATACGGTTCCTCTGTTATCTCTCTCTATATTCATCATACCTATCCATATCATAATCTATACCGTCGATAAAATTGAAGCAGCACATAGTTTCCCTTTTGACATGCTTCATGTAGAAAGCTAAAATTGCTCAGTAATTTTTAAAAAGGACATTATTCGTAAGGTCTGAATATTTCAAAAGACATTCAGAAAAGTATGAGTTGGCACATTAACAATTGTTTCAAGCAACTATTTATAAAATAAGTCAAATGAAATGCAAATAGTAAAATATAATGCAGTTGTCCATGATTTGCATTTCATGAATGCTCTCTCGTTGTATTTAAATTTTAGGTAATGGGAATGTTTTCGAGTTTTTAAAACTATGCCTTTTGCATCTGTAAAAATTTGTTCAAAACATATTGGCAGGATTTAAAGCATGTTCCTGTTTATTTTTTCATAATATATAAAATGTAAAAATTCTCTGTATAATTTATATGTATCATGGAAAAGTACAAGTTCTAAAATTATAATTGCAAAGTGGAAAATCCTGAATAAAAATATTTATGTGTTATAAAATAACAAAATTCAAAATAAAAGACATTCCATCAAATATTGGAAAATTATCAACAATAATCTTGCTTTGAATTCATATTTATTAGTTTCGCTGAAAACTTAACTATGAGAAACAATAGATTCTCATTTATTTCTTTGGATTATGCGAACTATAAGCGAGTTCAACTAAAACTTAGTCAAAAAATATGAAGGTTTCAAGATCAAACGTATTTTGTTTTTATTTAATATTATAGACATGAACAAATTCGATGTATAGGAAATACTAAGGAGAATTATTTAATCGTTGAATATAGCAGATTTCTTGGTAAGTTTCCGTTTGGTGCTGAAGACAATGAAATTCTATCCAACAGAACATGGGATGAAGGAAATATCTTATAATTAATAAATAATAGAAAAACAAAAGATAAATAATATAAAATTGAAAAATACTTGACCCGATGTATTTTGAAAATGTTACAAGATATTTTTCGCAACTGACATTGTAAGGTCAGGGTTGAAAGATTCAATGAAAAATCCTGTTAATTTTCACATTATATTTGAGAAGGCCTTGTTTTAATAAGCAAATCATGAATTATCTAGAATCATTTTAAATAAATTTATTAAAACTTACATTTGTATTTATTGTTTTTCTTTGTAGGGGAGAAATTGGAAAAAGGATTAATATTACAATATACTATACCTCAATAAATAAATAAATATGATTCCAAAACATTCTCAAAGGTGTTTCGGCCTCTAAAAATCATTAAATGGTTTGTTTCAATTTGAAAATATATTTGTCGAAAAAGAAATTGAAAATCGATTAAAAGTTACGCATTAATGTGAAATTTCGTCGATCGAGAAAGGATTAGAGAAATTAACTCTCGGTTCCACTTTTTTTTTTTAAGAAAAAGCAAAAAGGGTTAAAAAAAATATGATTTTTGCTTCGCTTGGACGAAATTCAATCACGATAAGAACTAAGTGTTACGAAGAAAATAAATTTCGACAAGAAATATCTGACCTCCCTTTCACTTTCTACGAAGGTGCCGTAATCAAATAAATAAATGAGGAAAAATAATAAATGAAATTTAACCCAGACGCTTGCAAAACTTGCCCGGGGCTAACCAAACCAGTTCCTTCCAAGAGGAAAAGACTTTCTAGGTCACTGGACTCGAGAACACGACTACAAATCGCTTTTCAATCAACTTCCGGAGTTTTCTTACATAAATAAAATTCTGATTTTTAAACCCAATGCAATCGGATGTTTATGAATTTAGCAAAATCTGAAACAATCATGACAAATTATTCTAGACTAGTGTGAAACTTTTAAATGCTAATAAGTGATTGAGAGAGCTTCTCCATGACCATACAAAAATGTTAGAAAAAAAGGAGGAAAATTATGTACTCTGAATCTATGGAAAGAAAACAAGAGAATTTTTCAGTGAAAACTGTATTCATTTCGATCTAAACTATAAAATTATCAAAGCAAATAAGAAAGAAAGTATACTGAGGATTACTGATAAAATGCTGGCTATTTTAAGAATTGTGAAGCTGAAAGTTTTCTTTTCTCAATAACTTAATCTTTTCTAAGGTTCCAAGGGACTTTTAAGCACAAAACACAACAATTCTTCCATTCCAAGTGATTCATTTCTTAATGTACCACTACATAGCCTCTGTCAAGTCACTTGACTATCTCAATGGAAGGACTTTGAACCTGGAACATGTATCAGCCCGTTTACAGGGCTCCGCGGCTCGAACCCTACAAAAACACTTGGGTGCTACTATGAATAAAAATTGCATTATTCACCAAATATCATTTGCACATTTTTATACTTAATTTTAAACAGTAATTTGCGTTACGTATGTACTCAGAGATTTTTCTAAAGGAGAGCGAACAAATATTTGGGCCACAATATCATTTTTTTTTTTTCTTTTTTGCTCATAGTATGAGTTAAAAATTTTATTTAGTGTCTCAGTTTTGACATATTCATTTATCACATCTTAAAGTAAATCTTTATTATACAAAATATATTCAACTTCAATCGGATTCATGAATTAAATACTATTTAGAGAAAAATATGTTGTACCAAAATTTTTTCATTTTTACAA